TGCTATGGAATGGGAAATATTTTTCCAAATTTTGGTGTAATTCAGGACCTAATATTAATTGATGAAACCAGATGCCTGTTATTTTTGAAAAAGCTAAATGTAGACTTCTTTGACAGACACTATTTTTCCTATATTGTTACACGTACAAATGATTTGTTTGAAGTTGTGGATATATCTAATTTAATTGTTCATGAATGTTTTGAGTTTCAAAAAAATTGTAATACCGATGCTTTTCATTTAGTTTTAAGGCATTACTTGTAAAAATATATGTATTTGTAATTTAGGCTATATATAACTTGATTGGTTTTTGTATTTAATTAAGTTGTGTAGTTTAATTATTGCGAATTATTACAATAAATAATCAAAATAATTACCGAAATAGTGAAACATTTATTACCATAATAATAAATATCGATAAGCAAACGATAATAATATGATTATGGTGCGGTGTTGATTATTTACCACCCAGTAATAAGCATCTTTATACATTTATCATAATATCATTACTGGCTAATATTACTTCATTACTGCGTGCAGTTGCAGGTTCATATTGCATGATATTTATGATATTATTGTGGAGTAATACGTTAATGCCGGGATGGTAATCTTTCTGTTAAATACCGCGCGGTAACTAACCCATTACCACAGCAGTAGAGTCATATATAGACTACACGGGGTAATGATTCCGGTAAACATTTTTCGGAGAGTGTAGACTAATCCCTTTTTCACTATTTTCCTGTCTTGCGTAAATCGTTTTGTCGAGTTTCTGTTGAATTGGGATTCGCGAAATTATCAGCTGCGAGAAAGATCCAGATTTTTATGTTGTAGTAATTTTCTATTTAATAATGGCCTGTTGCGGTGGAGTCGTTGTGATTGAACTGATTTCAACTTTTGTACTCAAAATGCACGAGGCATGCTATATTTTTAGAAATTTGCAAAATTGCAGCAAACTTGGTGAGAAATGTGGTAAAGAAAAGTAGCTTACGAATTTTTGTAAAATTATTTGGAGCAAGGGCGTTATGTAAAAATTTCTAAAATTATGTTACAAAACGCACGGATTTTACGAATTACAAATTACTACGTGAATTGCTTCGTACTTAACTAATCCTGATTTCTCTCTTTATTTTTTAGGAAATTTGGATAAAACCTCTCTTCTCGGCCTATTTCTACACGGACTAATTCCCTGTTTTGCGACATGCCCCATTGCCTCAGGAATGGTCCCTCTTCTTCTCGATGGCATCGATCCGACATATTTCTGGTTTAGAAATGTAACCTGGTTACACGCCAGTTGCAAAATATTATTTCGGATGGTAACAACATTTCTAAGGAACTTCCACTCTGCAATTGTTCTCTTTCATGCAGTAATTGTTGCTGCGAATGGGTGTCTAATGAATTCGGAATGTCTTAAGTATATGACAAATCCAGGTTTAAATAGCTTAAACCTGAATATTTTTTCTAAGGGTGTAAAAATTCCAAAATTCTTAGCCATGTATAAGCAGTTATTCATTTTAACTACTTTGTACAATCAAGTGGCATACTTTATACTCCCAATCGCACTACTTTTATCGTTTGTCCTTTGCATTGCATTTCTTTACGTGGTCGTCATGCTTACGGGTCGAGTACCACTGGTTCTGAGTTTTGTGGCGTTTTTATTTAGCATGGCCATAATTGGAGGGGTGCATTTGGTGGTGCCATTAATGGCGGAGATTACTATGTTGTCCAGGAATTTTGTACGTTGTTGGGAAAGAGAGGGACTCACTAGGTATGACGGGAAGGAAGTGAGAGGTTGTAGACCTCTGAGATTGTGGGTGGGGCCTTCCCACTGTATCAATAAAAGTTCCAGGGTTGATTTTATGTCGGCACTGCTGTATTGTACGATGACATTGATAATTTCGGTAAAACCGTGAATTTGAATTGATTTGCATATTCAGAAATAAAAGTACAATGTGCAATTAGTTTGCCAGAATCTGTATCATTATTGACTTCTAACCGGTATTTCAAGGTGGATATTGTTTCACTTTTATTCACACATGTTTGATGAGCTATTTTGTGCATATTCAGTTGTTTTGTTTGAAATATCGATTTCAATGGATGTATGTAAGTAATTTAAATATCTATTATTAGATTTTTCATAAAGATGTTTAATTAGTTTCAATGAAATGTTTAAAACAACATACAACAAGGGTCTATAAGTTAGAATATTTAACTATTATGTATTGTTTTAAATGTTGACAACTTGAAATATCTAATTGAAAATTTGTCAAGCAGTCCTAGATTTTAACCACAAAATGAATAAATTTCACCCAATTGTTGTGTCGTCCTCCTTTTTGCTCAACCCTGCGTAGATTTTACACATTTTTATTTAGAGTACTTCTAACACTTACATAGAAACATAAGTTTACACAATACAATTGGCATGACAATGGTTAGTTTGATGTGACAAGTTTACATTGCCGTGTGCAATAATGCACACGGCACGGATAAGTCTGGCCCACACTGATTAGAAAAATCGGATTGAATGAATCGCTAAAAAGTGTAGAGAAAAGGTTGAAGCTCAATATGATACCGTGCTCAAGCTTTTTATCTGTCGGCATCGTATTTACATATGTACATATCTCGATAAATCCAATATATATATTGGATTTTAGGTATACCTAATATTTCACTCCTTCTGGTAGCATTAAATTGTACAAATTAATTGCGTATTTTATTTGAGCATCCAAAAGTATTTAAACCGGGGGAAGTATTACATGTGTACACACCGGTACCGTTAAAAAATGCACATATCTATGGTCGGAATCCATGGATTTTTGGTGATAAATGTTTTCTACTTACATGTATGCACCTACTGAATGATAATCTTGCAACATTAGTGGTTGGAGTATGTCTACTACTGACATTGTTTGCATAAATTTATGTTTTCTTTAAAAAATCCCATTGATACATGACCCCTTCGTTTTTTAATCCATGACAAAGTTGACGAAAATTATTTATGTACGTCATTTTGACGTAAACTTGATAATCTTAATTTGCTGAAATAATTTTCTTTAATATCAAATACATAATTACATTGGGTACGTCAGACTTGTTACTGCCAGATTTTTTTTAAACGTGTACTTGTTCATCTAGTAAATACGAACAACTACATATTAGTCCAAAAATCGCGCCAGTTAGAAAAACAACCAATTTTTAATTTTGAGGCTAAAAAAGCTCCCTTGTGCATAGCGGAATACATATTTACCTATATGGATTCATGGTCCTCAGAAATGGTGGGTTTTGTATACTTGTTAAGTTATTTATATTTATTAAGTGTGTTGATTTGGACATGTTTAAAAAATCTGGCAAGAATAAGCCTGGCGTATACCTTGTTAGACAATCATCAATGGATTTAGTGTCTTTTGATGAAGCCAATCACGTGAATTTAACTTACATACGTGCCAGAATAGCTTTCATATCAGCAAGAATTCCTAATCTTATCTTTGTGTCTATTATGTGCTGCTGGTTTTGATGTTGCAGTTAGGAATTTATATCGTAGTACAATATGCTTACATATATACATCTAATTCCTTATTGCAGTGCTATGTCCAGTCTCGTCCTTGCAGGCAACTTGGTAAGAATCTGTCCTGGTTTCCATCCAATTTTCTGGTTGAACTGGGTACGTTACAATTGATTAAAGATTGGCATTTTGTTTCACATTTAAAATTGAACAAATCGATATACGGACATCCCAAACCGGAAGTTTTTTTTAAACCGGGTTTCGATTGATCGGATTTTCAAATTTTAGTAAACCCCAGAACTACGCGTTGAGTTAAATTATGAAAAAAAAACTTCAAAAAATGATATGAAGGTCTACATAAAACAATGTTATCCAACACTCTTAAAAATAACATTACCATTCCGACAATTATCTGCACTCTAAATTTTATATTAGTTAATTTCTACTATGTATGTACATACTTAAATCCGAGCTTGGTAAAGAGTAAGGTTTACTCTGGGCGTTACTACTTTAGTTTACTTCATATTGAACTCAGTGTGTATTTATTTTTCAAAAGGGCAACATTAGTTCTTAAAGTTTATATAATGAAACACTGAGAAAAATTACGTACACAAATTAGCCAAGATAATTAGTTATGTAGTAAATATGTAGTTAGTGAAAATCAAAGCTACCAACCCGTTTATGTCCTGCCAATAAAAGTTTCAACACATAAAAGGATTCAAAATCAAGCAAGTTCAATGGTTTTGATGTTTTATGAAAAATGTGATTAAAAGTATTTAAATATTTAAATTTCGGCTAGCCTGAATTATTCAAGCTCTATCGTAGACAGCATGCCATTTATAATTTTTGCATCAATTAACAAATAAAAATAATTGACATATAGGTCGGGTGTGATGTAGGGTTGTAATGCAGACAAACACACAATTCCAGTTTAGTCCAGCTAAAGTGTCGAAATAATATATCAGTCTTTATGTAGTTATGAACAGATAAGCATTCTTGCCATTAGTACAAAAGCAAAATCTACCTTGTATTAGGTCTGTGCATTCCATATTTTAGCTTGTTAAATATTATTTATACACCTAAATATGCTTGCGTTACTTTACACAGTACCGACGAATGATAAGCAATTTAGATAAGGCAAAAGTTTGCACTTGAACTTATTGCAGCATGTTAAATAGATTGTGCAGTGGAATAATTTACACGGGAATATGTACATATGTATCGAGTCAAATATTTCACTTAACTAATTAGATACATATGTACCTGACGAATAAATGGGAATAAACAGATCCCCTCACCCACGGTGCACACATGAATATTTATCCGCTTTTAAAAATAGCGCAACTAATTATTCTGCAAAGCAAATGCAATCTCAGTCTTATACATTAATTTTTGGAATTTATATGACATCACTCTTGCTAAATTATGATGCCATGCAAAATAATTTAAATTTCTATATAATAGACACGCTAAGCTGCTAGTCGGTTTCTACCCTCTACTTATAACCCTATCATGGCCACCACCGTCCTTGGCGAGTCCTCCCCCCGAGAATTCACCATCCTCCTCTTGGGTGAAACGGGGGTCGGAAAATCGACATGGATAAATGGCTTCGCCAACTTTCTGCTTCATTCGGACCTATCTTCTGCCGAAGAAAGCCCCATCCATTGCGTCATCCCAACCTCTTTCATCATCACGGACGAGGACTACAAAGAAAAATTAGTCTCCGTGGGGCAGGATATGAACGAAGTCATGGAAACCGGGCAATCCGCAACGCAACTACCGCAATCCTACCTCTTCCCCAGAGACGGTTACATGGTCCGTTTAATCGACACGCCCGGAATTGGCGATGTGCGCGGGGTTAAGCAGGACAAAAAAAACTTCGAACGGATCCTCGACCATATTTCTCACCTCGAATCACTCCATGCCATCTGCATCTTGCTCAAACCTAACAATGCCCGACTCGGCATCATGTTTCAATTTTGTATTAAGGAGCTGTTAACTCATCTCCATAAAGACGCCTGCGCCAACATCGTCTTCTGCTTTACCAACTCCCGTTCCACCTTTTACCGTCCAGGGGATACGTTACCATCATTGAGAAAATTACTCGAGGAAAATCAACATGTATCCATCCCGTTAGATCGGTCCACAATTTATTGCATGGACAATGAGGCGATCCGATTTCTTTACGCGATAAAAAACGGGGTCGCATTCGATTCGGATGAACGCAAAAATTATATCGCATCCTGGGATAAATCTGTCGGAGAAATAAACCGACTTCTGGAACGGGCAGAATCATCTCCCCCTCACTCAGTGCAATCGACCCTATCGCTTAACACGGCAAGACAAACAATCCTCTCCTTGGGGAGTCCAATGGCTGAAGTAACCCGAAATATCCAACTTAATATCGCCACCCAACAAGCACAGATGGAATCCGTAAAAAATTCAGAGAAATCGCAAGAAGAACTTAGCCGAAACTTGGTTCATAAAGTATACGAAGTAAGAATGCATCAACTCCTCGAGCCCAGAACGATCTGTACGGCCGCGAAATGCACTGACGTTATTGAAGTTGGCGGCGTAAAGGATACCAACTATAAATCGCACTGTCACACCAACTGCGGCACGGGAAAGCAGAAGCACTTCAAAATTGGGAATATAAAAGGACACAAAAATTTAAGAAAATGTTCCGCCTTCAATCCGGACGGGCTCTGTAAGCGATGTAACTGCAGTTGGAAGGAACACATGAAGATAACATATGAGACGTCGTTAGTCGAGAAGGAAGTTAAAGATATCGAGAAACAAATGGAATTACAATATCAGGAGGATTCTACAAAGAAGATTGAGAAACATATTAAAGAAATGGGTGTCATCATTGACGAGTTGAGACAAGAACAGGAAGAGATTACAGATGCGAGCATAGAATTCGCCAAATTTTTGCGACTTAACGCGATCACGGTGTACAATAATGCTATGGATGAATACATTGGGCATTTCATTCATGACGAGAGGAACAAGATGGCCAGTCCTGGAGGAGGAAATCCTAAAATTTATGAAGGTTTGATCAAATTGCAAGCCGATTATAGGAACCAAATGGAGACTTTAGACAAAGCCATGCGGCAGAATAGTTGCGGACCACCACTTACTCCGATTGAGTTGGACCAACTTATCAAAAGGTTGTACCGGATGAAGCATAACGGCAAATTGTTAATGGAAATGATGGAAACGTCCCAATCTTCTGCAGATTCGTGCTACACGGAGAAGTTAGTGGGTCGGAATGCGAGTTTTACGACGGTCACTAAACGTCCGAGGAAGAAGGGAAAATTACTTAACGAATTCGTGCAATGGATTAATCCGGGAAACCCGTCTAAATCGGGCGAGAGGAGCCAGTTAGAATATGGTAAAAATAGGCAATCCGATGATAGTGCTTTAACTAAATCATTATATAAGCCTTCCAAAGGTCATAAATTTTCGAATTCTATTAAACAAAATACGGCCGGTGAGTTTGGAAGACAAGAAAATAATTATGCGAAGAATGATGGACCCGCAAGTTGGGTTAAGGTAATGTATCCCATTGCATATCGGCAACCCAAGGAAGATTCTCCACAGACACGATCCGCGCCAACATCAAAACGACAACCTCCACCGCCACCACCGAAGCCACTAACTTCACAATCATCAACACCTCCATCATCCCCACTAGTTTACACTAGTGGTAATGATTATGGTGACCATTACAAGTCATCAATGCCGGAAATTACAGAAGAAAGGGCGAATTTAATGCAAGATATTCGCAATGGGCTTAAACTGAAGGTTGGCATGTAAACTAAACTTTTTCATGTTCTATTTAAAAATTATTAGTTATAAATATGTACGGATTTTCCTAGAAAACCGACACTGCCAATCAAAATAGAGCGGTAATATTATAATTTCCATTTAAGGCATTTTATCAAGTTTAAAATAATTTGAATTCTCTGATTGTTACGTTCCTATAGAACATACCACCGAGAGACGGAAATGCAGATGGAATGGATTTGCTAAGGCGAACTTTGGCCATGAGGGCGGCCAGATTTCAGGATGATGACGAATGGAATTAGATGTATTCCTTTGAATAAATTTAAATCAACTTGATGCAAAAATTAGTGCAAATTATGTATGCATAAGTTTATTATAACTGTGTGAGTATATTCAGTGTACATGTATTTACATTATTTAAATGTGTATTTATACATATTAAAGTTATTTGAATTGGATTCGAAAATCCACAACCCATTACATAATTACGTGAGCGAAATTTGTAACCTTAACGAACCCATTGTTTTATAAAGTAAAATTGCCGTTTAATTTGAAATAAATAATGTTATCATGTGATGTCCCATTTGCAAATTTATCCAGTTATAAATTCAATCTTAGAAAGTATTTCTTATTTAAGTTAGACTTACGATTAAAAGGAAAGATTTCTTGCAATGCATGTTTGCATACAATAAATGCATGCGTATGTGTATTCCTAAATCATACTACGAATGAATGAAATTAACTAGTTCCAACGCTACCCTGGACCATAAATGACACGTAAATGTTTTTACTGAAACTACAGTATACCGAATTCCTTGAAGTAATCGTCCAACTTCTAACTGTACCTTCCTAAAGTATACCTTAACATTCGAAACGGCTCTCTTTAGGTCAATGGACCTGAAAATTTCGAAAATATTTACAAAAATACATCCCACACAGAGAAAGAGAAACAGTAAAAAATGAGCTCAAATTCTTTAACGAAATGAATGATGAGGTCTTGTCAATTACAAATTTCGAGTAGTTTCTTCTATCCAAGAAAAGTGAATATTTTTCCCAGCTTGTCCAAATTTGTCGAAATCCAGCCTCGTTTAAAACTTTTGTAAATTTCGCTATTTCTTCGTACATATTTGAAACTAGGGAATCAAAAAGTTTATAACGTAGAAGCGCATCTTTTAGGCCATAGCACTGATATTTCCCTTTAAGAACGACATCTTCCACGTACCCCATTTCCGTTTGTAGCGAATTCGAACCTATTAAAAGCGCACGAAGTGGACTTTCTGGCGAAATTTGGACCACCAATTTTTCAACTTTTGTTTCATTTCCCTCTAATAAACTGGTGTTTACATATTTCCCCAAATTTTGTAAGGCCAAGTCTGCCCTTAGCCGAACAGAGTAAGAAACCTCGTTCGCTTCCGGTTTCTTGAACCAAACTTGATACGAATTTTCAAGCATTTCCTGTAACGAGGAGAATTCTTTAAAGTTGAAAATATCAATGATATCCATCGTCATGTAGGTGGAGTAAACGATCGATAAATACACCATCGGTGGCGCAACTATGAATAAAAGTCCTCTAATTTTCACGCGTCTAAATAAAATATTGAGGGTATTCATTATTTCTTCGTATCCTTAGTATTCTTCGTATCGTAAAATAACTTACGACGCTTACGAGATTTTGTAAGCGTCGTAAGATTTTCTCATCGAAAATCACGTTACTACGCTTACGATTTTTACTAAACCTGACCCCTTGTTTTTTCTTCGTAAACTATTTTACGATACTACGGATACGAAGAAATAATGAATACCCTCACTGTATTTCACTGAAGAAATATGTGATAAAGTGATGTAAAAAATGTATGAAACGGATGTCAGGATCCAAACTGTGACCGGAAATGGGAAAAACCACGGGTCGTATGATGTAATTTCACTCCGGAGTACAAAGTTACAATACAGCAAACTGCAAGAAATTGAATCCATGTGGGTGAACGTGTTCGACGTGTAGAATAAGTAGCGTTTCTGGCTAATACCAATTCTGTAGTAGCCATAGCGATGGTTCAATTGAGGGACATTATTAAACGTAATATTTAGTGCTGCACTAGTTTCCCCCACAATTCGACTAGAACTTGGGCAATGTATCGTGCCAACCGAGTAAGCTCCGTTGGAACAAAATGTATTAAATTTTGCCAGCTTATTCGTGTACAAAAATATATCTGATCTCCAGTCTGATCTGAATTTCGGGGTGGAAAATGTTCCAAGATTGAGGTTAGTTGCGTTTTTGAAGCGCACGATGCAGTATGGACAGTGAAATAGAATTTGGGAAACTGCAAGAGAAAAGAGAAGTGAGTTATTGTGCAAAATTAGTTGCAAACATGTACATAACCATTATACGCTTAGAAATCCAGTAATAAAATTCTAATTTTCTAAGAGTGTATATAATTAAGTTCTTGCACACATTGCTAAACATTTTTGACATACCTTTTATTTCTGAAAAATTTCTGGAAACCAAGACGTAAAAATGCCTGACTGGGTGTCGCATATCGCTCGAGTAGATTTCATGCTTGCCAAGTATTTCCGTAAATACCAACATTGTCGAGAACTTGGTACGAAACGTGTCAGATAGAAGTAGTCTGGAACTCGTTTGATCCGATACGAGGAATAAGTTCAAGACACATTTTTCCTGAAAGGAGAAATCGTACGGTAGAAGGTCGCTATCTTCTAAGGTGTCATTTATTTTACTGGTAGTCTTTAAAACTAGGTAATTCTTATTATTCAAAAGTACCACGAGTTCAAAAACGTCGGTAAAAAATATGTCAGGATCGAGTAAGAAGGCTTTAAATGTACAGGATGAAAATTCAGGAAACTCAAGAGAAAGTTTTCCTGCAGATAAAATTGATTGTGGCAAAAGAAATAAAATGTATGAAAAACAACTTGTTATCTGTAATGTTTTCATTTTGAACATGAAGCAATCAGATATTGAATTTAACTGGTATTCTGTTTAGAAATATGTACACGTATGGTATTAATAAGCTTACATATGTAGTATCATCAATTATTAACAACCTACTTAAATTTGTCCTAATTATTACAGAAACTATATGAGCTATTTGCTTGCAAACTACGTTAGTTCGAAAAGAGGACAAAATTGTGATAACAACATTTAACTTTCATATAATATTCATTAAATATCGACTAACTGATGCGAAGTTGGACATATGTATGTAATTGTGGATTAACCCTGAAAAAGTTTGAACATGTCGACAATGATTTCCATTTTACTTGCCAGGGAATTAGATTTTTGGAGGAAAATGTCCATCATTTTATTTTATTATATGCAAAGGGGTACCAAATGACCAGTTTGGCTGCCGGAATTTAGCCTATTTTGTTTGATTGCGCTTTTGTGTGTTGTGTAAGATTTTTAGGCCAGACTTCAAAGCAGAATTACACCTTTGTTAAACTAATTAAGAAAAATATGTACAAAATAAAATAGTAGAACCAAACGAAGCATATGTTTTTATTTGTGTAGAACATATATGTATATGTTTGATTTCTTTATGTTCATGGATGTATACTAGATACATATGTTTCATAATATATATATAGATGGAAATTATAGTTTAAACTCATACTCATTACTTAGCAAAATTCATAAGACGCGTTCACAATAAAATTTTTCCTGAAAGTCACCTTATTTGTATTTTTTAACCAGGAGAGAGAGGCTCTATCTTAGGGCTCATTAACCATGGAAAGCAAGTATCGCCAAAAATTGGCATTGAGAGATTTATGCAAATTACGTTATCGCAACCATAATTTTACGAAAGTCCATGTTGGTAGTTGGTTTGAATTACTTTGAATGTAATTATGGTATTTCGATTTGACATACGATTTGATGTATATATGAAAGTTGTTCTGTACTTTGGTGGAGTACGTAACTCACATTGGCGGCCCGGGTCTTGGGACAGGGCTCCGGGTGTGCACGTCCGGGGTCCAGGTTCGAGTCCTGGCTAGGGCTGTCAGGACAATTTTTTTGAACGATGTAGTGTAATATATTTTTATTCGTGCACTCAAACAAATTTTACCATCGGATTAGAACTGACAGATTACTGCAAATACATAAATGATACAACCGGACGGGGATATTATGTCACCGCTTAAACTAAAAATAATTCTAAATTTAAATTTAAAATTTTGCAATTCCTGTAACCGAAATTAAGAAATTATAATAAAGCATTTATACAAACCTTGGAACCAATCACGAATATAAGAAATTATGCAGTGCACGAAAATTGTATATAGTGACTTATTTTACACACATGCATGTAGATGAAAAGGCCTCCTCTAGTTTTAAAGAAAGCAAAATAAGTATGTAGGTATGTATGTGTAGTCGGTTAGAATTCCAAGAGTGTGAATGCATATACATATACAAGATAAGTACGCAAAGCTTTATAAATTCAATAAATGATCTATAAAATTTAAAATAAGACGAATACAATGTAATTAGATCGGTATTCATCGAACAAAATGGGGGTTAAATTTGATAGCAGGCCAGTAATTACATCTACCAATCATAGACACATGTAAATATGTAATGTAACTCTGGATAGTGGTAATTGAAAGTGTCAATTATTTAATGAACATCGTGACATAGTAAATAGATACATATAAGCACGCTGTAAAAGTGCGAATAATATACATAATTCCCAGATTGCTGTTATATGCAATCTTGATACCAGCTAGTGTTCTCAATGGTCCGGTCCAGGACCGGGACCGGACCGAAAACTCCGGTTCGGTCCGGTCTTGGTCCAAGGCAGGACCGAACCGAAACCGAAATAAAAAATTCGGTCCGGTCTCGTTCCTGAGTTCCCAGGACCGGACCGGACCGGTCGGACCGAAAAATTTTATTGCTAAATATAATTCATTAAAACCGCATTTTATTTGAGAATTTTTCTGGACGCGGATGGCTCAGAAAGTGTGCAAAAAATTAGGCTAAAAATTAGAAATCACGTGGGAATTGCATTATGTCAACTTATAAGTTGATTTATGTAATCATATCAATCACATTGAGTTCGCTTCCTCCGCCTGGTAAAAATCATCCGTTTTTCAACTTTGACCTCCAATACAATAGTATTTTGACAAATTCGGCCCATCGCATAAACTGCCTCAAGAAACATTGGTTTTATTGACTTGGACCAGATAATTTTAAAACTTCAACCAAATCGGAGGGTTATACTTTACACCATCGTATTGTTAGTCCGACCAGAAATCGTTTTCACATTCCGTAACAATGATCTGTGTAAAATTTCTTCAAAATCGGTTGAGAAATAGTTGAGAAGTGGAATTATTTCACTATTTTGGGTGGGGCAAATGCATGCTTACAATGGAGAGGTAAAAGCTGGTTATCTTGACCGTTTTAAATTGTTCACAGTCAGAAATAAACGGACTCGTTTTCGCCCGTTGCGGAATTTTCACAAAAAATTTTTACCCAAAATCTGGATTTAAAAAAGCTGCAACTTTTCGAATTTTAACCAGATTACAAAAATTTAA